ACGGGGGGGGGACGAGGGGGGGACGGGGGAGGGACAGGGGGGGACACGGGGACAACTGGAGGACATTGAGGGGGACAAGGAGGGGACAAGAGGGACAATGTGGGGACACGGGGGGGACATGGAGGGGACACGGGGGGACATGAGGGACATGTGAGGGGACACGGGGTGGCCGCCACCCCCTCCCCAGCCCCGTGCCACCGTCACCGTGACCCCGCAGGGCCCCGCAGGTGACAGCGACAGCCGGAGGTGACACTGCCGGAGGCAGTGCCAGGACAATGAGGGGTGCGGTGCCAGCGCCAGTGTCGTGACAGCGACAGCGACAGCGACAGGGACAGCGCCCTGGGGTGGTGGCAGTGCCAGGGCCACGGCGGTGCCGTGGGGTGACACTGGCGGTGACACGGTGGTGGCACTGACGGTGACAATGCCATGGCAGTGACACGGCGGTGGCAGTGACACACTGATGGCAGTGGTGGGGACAGTGCCACGGTGGTGCAGGTGACACTGGCACTGACACGGCGGTGACAGTGATGGTGCCAGTGACAGTGCCACGGCACTGACACGGTGGTGGCACTGACGGTGACAATGCCACGGCAGTGACACGGTGGTGGCAGTGACGGTGACAGTGCCATGGCAGTGACACGGTGGTGGCAGTGACACGGCGGTGGCACCGACGGTGACAATGCCATGGCACTGACACGGTGGAGGCACTGACGGTGACAATGCCATGGCAGTGACACCGTGGTGGCACCGACGGCGACAGTGCCACGGCACTGACACGGCGGCGGCCCCGGCGGTGACAGTGACAGTGCCAGTGCCACGGCAGCGACACGGCGGTGACAGTGACGGTGACAGTGCCAGCGGCGGTGGCAGCGGCGGTGACGGCGGAGCCTCATCTGCCATTCCGGCTGCGGCCGCGTCCCTCCGCCATCTGTCACCGCCCGGTGCCAGCGCTGGCACCGCCGCTGTCACCCCTTCGCTGCCGGAGCCGCCACCGCGGCCTCGGGGACACGGCGAGGGGACCCGGGGGTGTCCCCGGGGGGGGGGCACAGCCGCGTCCCCTCCCCACGGCGGGGGGTGGCAGTGCCACCCTGCAGGGAGGGGACACCGGGGACACCCAGCCCACCCCCGGTGTCCCCCCCAGTCGGGACCCCCGAGCCCCGCGGAGGGCGGGGGGGGGGGCTCAGCCCATCGGACCCCCCCGGGGGAGGCCCCGGGAAGCTTTTGGGGCGATTTCGGGGGTTTTTGGCCGCGCTCCGCGCGGGTTTTCGGCGGCTGCCGAGGCCTGGAAGCCATTAGGGGCCCCCCCCCTCCGCGGGCCCCGCCGGAGCGGCCGGGGGGGGTCCGGGGGGCCCCGCGAGGAGCGGCCCCGCCGCCCCCCGCCCCCCCCGCTAACCCCGGTCCCA